TGGGTTCCTCGTCATCGAATACAGAGCTAATGTACATACCTGTATGGCACGATTTCGAGTCTGTAAGACCTCTTCCTTTTCCTTAATATGTTCCTGCAGGTCTATTATTTGGCATTCTTTCTCAAGAACAGTGTTGTTGAGCTCTACGATTTTGGCATCTTTGTACAGTAGCTGTGCATACATCTCTTGGGTATCAATATTCTGAAATAATATTAATCTTTTTTGTTTTTGACAAAATTGAAATATATCAAAAAATCCCTGCTTAATCGGCTAGAGCTCCTTCAATTGAATGCTTCCAATTTCTAAAGAAAAAAGTCTAAGACTATATTATTTACATTTGAAAACACAAAAAGAACTTTTAATTTCACTTTGCAAACACATTAAAATCTTGTATATTTCATTCAAAACAGCAGTTTTTCTAGCCAGAAAAAAACCCAATAAAATTTAGTGTATAAAGGAGTATAGGATGTTCCAAGAATGTCTTCTTCCAGCTATTTTTATTTAGCAATGTATCAAAATTTCATTAAATTTACTTGTAGTTAAATACCGCTCATTATTATACTAATGCATTGTATAAAATTGTTTATGAACATATTTATTTCTCTAATTCTATATCTTTGTATAATTGAACAATATATATATATATATATATATAATATAATGATGACAGTGATTCATTTACTACTTGATACATTTAGAACAAATATTATTTTTTATTTTTAATCTGCTAAAAACTATTATTGAAATTATAAACCACCAACTTGTTCTTTAGTTGGAGAAACATTGTCCTGTTTGTTCACTTCCTTCTTTGACATATTTTCTCCCCCTTCTTTCTTTTTCATTTCTTGAATAATACTATCCCTTTCTTGAAGCTGGTTTTGAAGATCTTCTATCATTTTTTCTAGAATGTTACGATTTTCTGAAACATCTTTCTCTCGTTGTTCATACTTATATCGACTCTCCTCCAGCTGTTTCTTTAACATGAGAACTTTACCTTTATCCCCATGATCAGGAATTGAAGAGGATACTTCATATAGTTCAGCATCTCCCTTTTTTTTTACAAAATATTAATAAAAGCAGTTTTAATTAATATAAAAAGTCTACTATCAACATATATAAATATATATATTAAATAAATGTTATGACTATTAGTTTTCTTGCTCTTAGTCAAATTAACTTGAACATTAAAATGCTGAAGAATAAAAAAAAAAAAAAACTGTGTGGAGTATATAAACACTCGTCAATTGTACAAAACACGTTATGATATTTTACTGTTTGAATGATAATCTTTTTGATGAATCTGACTATACCTTTTCTTGTCCAGTTTTTTTCTCCTGATCATGACTTTTGAGCTGAGCAGAAAGCTGTGTTATTTTGGCTTTAGCCTGAAGTTTAAACTTGTGAAACTTAGCTGTTGTTTCCTGTAAATGTAATGCAATACACAGCAATAATGTTAATAAAGTAATAAAATTTTGTAGGTTTATACAATAAGCTGTTAGCTTATCAATAAATACACATAATAAATCAGTTTTCATAACAAACTGGAGATACTAATGCAAACTTTTCTCCTGTAGCTCAATATCAATAAATAATTTACATTTACAAGATATAACAACACACTGATAAAACAATTTACAATGCATTCAGATAACATTATATTATATAATAAGTGTATCAGTATCACATAGAATTATCTTTAGAAATGGTTTCTCACAATGTTACTTTTTTCATTTAATTAACATTTGCAAACATTTTTAATGTCTAAGGACACAAGGATGGGCTATAATAAAAAGTTATTGTCAATATAAAATGTTCCAGGAGCCAATTCCAATAACTTAATAAATGAAACTAGTTTATTAATTGTTATCAACAGACTCGTAAATTTATTCATAATTTCAAGTGTTTCTGATGAGAGTTAACGGTGCAAAATGTTGTTGCTAATTGCTTGAAATTGGCTAATCTTTACATCTATGAACTGAAATAAATATTTCTAACACAAATCTTGATATTTATTTACTTACTTCCACTTCTTTGTCCTTGTTTTTTAGATGTGTTTCATTTTCTCTAAGCATGTCTTTCAATTGCTGAACAAGTATTTGTTGCTGTTCAAGCTGTTCTTGAAGTTCCACATGATTAGGAAATTTTCCTGCCTGTAAGAACAATATAATAAGGGATGAATTATAGGCATTGATTCCTAAGTAAAGTTAAAATATTTCTGTAGTGATGTCAAATTTGAAAAATTAAAAACAGCTTTCCAACATTCATGAAATATATATCTATATATATATATAAAACACCTGTGAAACAGATTAAGGCAGCCTTCTAACCACCTGAGGTCACAAGGAGTTATTTATGGAACATCTTATTCAAGTGGAGCTTTCTATATAGAAAAGAACACTAGAAACTTCAAAGAACAAACACAGGCTTTCCATCTAATAAAAAACCATTATATCAGCTATTATTAGCATATGAAATGGCAAAGAACATGATGTAAACAGGTACATCTACAGAGTTACTGACAAGAAAGTGAAGAAAAAGAAAGATTAGGGAATCTATCCAATACAAAAACTACCATTCAACACAGGCTTAGGATCAGAGATCAGGAATATCACTGGTAGGAAAAAACAGAATCAAACCAACTATTTCATAACAATTCCCATACCATCACTAATAAACCCCATTATGACTGCACAGATTTGATGAAAATACACAGAAATGGAATGAAATTTCCTCTTATCACAAGTTTATCTAAAAAGTTGTCCATTTCAACAATTTCCAACAACTCACAACCTACTATGCCTTTGAAACAAGTTATAAATGATTAATTAATACTTATATGATAAACACATAATAAAGCTAATGAAACATTTCTGTTTTAGCAAAAATCTGCACAAGGATTATCTGCATGAAAAGCTGATAAGTAATATTTTAAATGATTATTTTAGTACATAGTTATTTCATTTTGATTTTTTCTAAATTCATCAAAATAAATTATCTTTACTTTTGTTAAAATACAAAGCACCTACTGTACTGGTATTATCTAAAGCTAAATTTACAGCCTTCAAGAATTTGAGCTAAAAATATTTGCTTAGCTCTTACACATGATAAATCTTTAGCCAGCTTAATTAAAATAACTCAAATCTGGTTAAGAAAATAAAGCACAAAAAGAATAAGGTTGCAAAAAGATAAAAATACAGTTTTTGATGCAATAGAAAAATGAAGATAAACAATAAGATTTTGAAAAATACTACAGCATAAGTAATAGTGTTATTATAGAGTAGTTAAAAAAGATAAATAAACCAAAATGTAATAAAAAATATACAATACATAAATAATACAGTGTTTGCTAAGTTAGTTAATGAAGATTAAAAAAAAATTTAGAAATATACAAATTTAAGGATATTTCAAAACAATTCAAATAAATATGAGCATGTTTTGTTAAAAAATAAGTTTTTATCCTTCTAAAATTTACCTCAATTTTACATGCACTGTAATATTCATTTACTGTGTATGTTTGTACTTTTTTTACATTTATTCAACTATAAGCAAAAGTACCTGTCCCCCAGTGATGGGAAAAGTTTAAGTTAATCTATCAATTTAAATTATTTCATGGAGATTAAAATGGTTAACTGTATTGCACTCTTGGATTCACTCAGAGCCAAAGCTAAGTGTTTATATAGCCCACTGCAAAAAGTAATTGTTGAGCATTTCAGTCATACAGTAAATCTACATTTTTATTCTTTAAGTTACGTCACATTTTGAAATGTGAATGATAGTGTGACTAATTCCTAACAATTTAGTGTAGAATATCCTGCTTGCAAAAATGAAATTTGGCATCAACATTATTGATGCCTGTTCTCCCATCATTTCAAAATTGAATGTTGAAATTTGCCTGCATGCACAGCTTTTCAACCAGGAGACAGATGAATGCTCGGACAGACACCACGTCGCAAAATATATAAGATGCATAATATTTTATAAAGAAACAAATCCTTTAATGCATGATATACTTTCATAACACAAACATAGTCAAACTGTTTACCTGGCTGGTATTTCATAATCAGTTTGAAACTGTATTAAGTAGGTCTCACCACATCACAATACACACAAACCTTACAAATTGTGCTCATATTTTATAGATGGCTATACCATAGTGGTTTTGTTACAAAGATTATTTCTGATACATAATCACGTTCCTAGGAAATGAGTCTTTGCCATATTCTGATGCACTATCTGAAGGACCAAAGATTTGTTTTTAGATTTTCAGCTATTAAGTTTGCAACAATTAACTACACATGAATTATAAGAAACTACTTTATATATCAATTTACATCTTTCAGTAATCTATAATGACTCCTCTCTCACATTCCTTTGATCATATATAGAATCTTGCACACAGTTCAAGAAGAATTATCTATCTGTCTGACTTGCTTCTGTACTCATAGTCAGTAACTTTGGAGGGTGGGGGAATGCTATTTTCAAGTAATGTTTGTATTCTTCTATTAGAGCAATGTACATACATATTTCAAAATTTGAAATGCTTTAGTACACTATTTTACTATACATTATTTTCAAGACTTCTGTCATAAAAACTGTGTTTGTGTTATGGATCCTCACTTTTACAGATAGAATCTTGTGAGTCTGTAAAAAAAATTAAATATGGATATTTTCAATATATAAAAAAAACAATATAAAATTATGACAATGTATGGAGCTATTATAAAAAGACAAATATAGTTAAAATTGCATATGCAATGACAATATCAAAATTAAATAATAGATTGAACAATTGCCAAGTTTTTATATTTTTATTCAAAAAATAATGACATTTTGAGCTAGTGCTCTTTGTCAGATCATACAGTTTACAAAGTTGATAGCTGTATGATTTGATTTAAATAAAAATATAAAAACCTTAGCAATTGTTCAACATACTATTTAATAAAGTGCTATGAAACATACTGTTCAAAACAGTAAAATAATTAAGATTACAATAACAACTTTTTACATGATAACTGAAGTAATTCAAACATTTTGAACTTTATGTATAATCATTCTTTTTCAATTTATGGTAAGGTGTTGTTTTGAGGACAATTTAGGCAGAAGAGATAGTACTGGTGTTGAATCTTTTTCAATTGCATATGGCTGGAGTCTGGCAAATGTCTCAGAATATGTTACAGGTGTTTTCAAGATCTTCTTGAAAGAGATGATAATGGCAAGATGTTATGCTAGTTTAAGGCAGGGTAAGTGAACATACCTCATACAGAATCTAGGTGGAACTTTAGACTTGTGTATCTTGGATAAGCCACAGATTTTAGATGGTTTGTTTCTAGAGCTGGGTAATTTAATGAATTAATTAATATATTTGATTACCTGTGAGTATGATTATATTAATTAGTACCATACAAACTAATCAATTAATTGAAATTAGGATTAAATTGATTATCATGGAAATAATCAACTAGTCAATATTAGCATTTCCAATAATACTATTTTCAATTATTCCAACTATCCAAGTAATCAACATATTGCTATTATGTTTGTTGGTTACTAAGAACAAAGTTACATGATGGTCTATCTGTTCCCTACCCAATACTAGCCTTATAAGTTGTTGTTTTTTACTTCAAGTTTGATCAGCTTTGGTAACTTGGAGGGGGGGGGGACTTCATTATTTGAGGGTCTCAGGTTTGATTCCCATTGCTGAAAAACTGGCTTTAGCTGTTTTTATTATGGGAAAGCTACTAAAGGCTATCTGCCAGTGTCACTAATTTTCAACTACTGAATAGAGAGAAATCAACTGTCAGGCAGCACCTATCACTGTTTTTTTTTAATTGCTTGTATGTACCATGGTTTGATGAACAATATACTAATTGTTTGATCAAATTTAATCAATTAATGGGGCTGTCAATTAGCAAATACCACTAATTACCCAGCTCTATTTGCTTCCATTGTAAACAAGTTTCTTTTAAGTTTTGGGGATTAGTTTTCTGGAGAAGTTTGCCTGCTCATTTAACAAGTATCGAAAAAAAGGCCTTAGCATAAGAGCAAAAACACTGTCCTCATCTGGACTCCTGCCATTGTAATTCATAAGAGATTTAATGCTAGTAGTAACTATTCCTAGGTGTGATATAAGTAATTTTCAAAACAGAATATAAATGTCTCCTACAAAAATGTTTACAACTCAGCTATGATGGAGTTATTATTAATCCATTGTGACTCCACTCCATTAATAACAATTTTCTTCCCTACAACCAATTCTCATTTAACCAGCTTATCTTTTGACCCACAGCTGTGCAACCTTCTTAATAAGCCTTTCAAATGGCACCTTATCGAAAGGCATTCTAAAAGTCCAAGTACATCAAATCTACAGCATTGCCCACATCAAAGAGGGTTATAAAATTCATAAAACAAGACTTTCCCTTTCTGAATGCACGTTGACTATCATTAACATAAAACTTAAATGTAGATTATAAAACATTGTTCTCATTGCTTAGAATGGATGTTATTTGTCAAATCTGAGCAAGTTGTCTTGTATTATGTATAACATTAAAATAATCAATTCCTGAGAACCCATAAAGTCTCTTTATTGTATTGAGCTGTAGTCTGGGCTAATGTTGATGTCCTTTTTGAGAACTTTTTAAATTAAATGAAGTTTCCTTACATTTGAAATAGTCTACGTATACAAACTTGACAAAACAAAAATATATATCAACATCAATTGTATATTCTAGTGTTAATGTACAAATGTAGTTAACAAAAACCAAATAAGTTTAGAACTAAAAGAACTATACCATTATTAACTCTCTTTACTTCAAAACTATGAAATCATACCCTAATAACAATTCAAAATATTATGTTTAAAAAGCTGTGTAAGTAAAGACTGCCAAATAATTTGAATATTTTGTTGAAAGATTTCCCTTTGCTAACTCAAAATCTATGAATCTTTTTGCTGAACATATCAAAGTGATTATTTTAAATGGTGAACACAACATATAATAGTTTTTAAGTCATTTTCTTTCTTGAATAAATAAGAAATAACAGTATTATAACTTTTAACAATATGTGACTAATATTAACTAATAAAAACTTAAAATAAATGGTGTACATAGTGAATATTGGTTAGTTTTGGATTGATTTATTGGTTGAATAGTACTCTTTTAAGTGCAATTATATTTATTATACCTCTTGTTGTTCAGGTTCCTTTTGACCCAGTCCTGCAGCTTGACTCAGTCTGTTCCACATTCTGACATATAACACAAATCAACTCAGTCAAGAGCCATGGATGTAATGCAAGACACTACCAACACAGTTCAGAAGTACAACTAGAACCATAGAAAGAAAAATGTTATATTTGGTTCATAAGAACACTTGTGCAATATATGTATATATTTGGGTATGGAAGCATAATATGCTAATAGTAAACTGACAAACAACAAGTTATAAGCATAATAAAGTAGCATGTTCCCCAAAATAAAACCACTTTATTATGCTTATAAATAATTGTTTGTCAATTTACTATATGTGTATAGTATGCATAAACAATGACCTTTTCTTTAGGTTTGTTTGCTCAAGTGCCTTTCTCTCCCTGAATATTTTCTAGATTCTTAAAAATAATGGATACCACCTTTTGACAAAGTACATGTAAAAATTACCAAATTACTTTAAAAAAAGAAGGGAAAAATTATTTCATGGTTCCATGAATCAAATAAAATTTACTGTAGGACTATATTTCTTGCTCTTTTTAATGATGTTTAGCATGCTTTCTCACAGTGTTGATAAATTACTTTTAAAATAAATTCAGACATGACAAGCCCAGCATTAACAATAACCAATATGGGCATTAACTTAGGGTCCCAAATTTTTGAGAGCTTCGGTGTGAGTAGGAGCACAGCCTTAATTTCTGCCTAGGGCACCAATGAAGCATTGCCAGCCTTGAAACATGAGATGATGCAGAATGGAATACAGCAGGGATTCTCAAACTGTGGTATGAGTACCACTGGTGGTACATGAAACAATTCATATAAAAAAATCATAAAATTTGTAAAAGCCCTATCTGACTTTCCATGTATATGTACATATACTTTCCTCATTTATAGACTCACCCTCTTCCTGCATAGACTCGCCAGTATTTTCTTCCCTTCAAATTGATAAAAATGGTACCACATATTCTTTGATTGTGCCCGAAAAAACAATCACATCCTTCGCAATAACGGGTAAGTGTTAAAACATGAATTTTTGTTACTAGGTTTTTATTAGTTTTTTAATTAGGCCTGGGTTTGTAATTTAAAAAAATTAAACAAAAAGTGGGACGTGAGTCTGAAATGTTTGAGAATCACTGGAATACAGTATATAAGTTAAATTAATTGAAGTAGAGGAAAAAATGTGAAACTGCAAATCCTTATCTGAACATAGTAAGAAAGAGAGAAATAAATATTTTCTAAGGGTGTACTTAATACTAAGTAGTTAAATATTACCTGTATACAGAAAGACTATGAAAGTTGGTGTCATATGCATTCATATGGAATCATCAAAAATTGTCCAGTGATAAATTGCATGAAGCATGTTAAACTGTAAATCAACCTAACACTTATCACTAAATGTAACTTATGTTTGAACTTATCATATTTATAACCAATGTAGCTTGTAAAATGTAGATTCCCCCGAGTCCTGACATAAGAAATAATGAATTATATCTGTCAATAAAAACATCATAGCTATGGCAAATGTAGCATGTTGGAAATAAATAGATATCACCATACTTTTGAGATCTTCTGAATTTTTTAAAATGAAACTCAAAATTCAAAACTCTGATACACACGTTAAAAAATTAAATATCACTTAAACAAACAATAAGCAATACTTTAATGCACTAAATTTATCTCTGTATTAAACATACTGTAAAGAAAGTTACACTACTAAAAATCCTCAGAATTTTAAGTGGTGCTAATATTTGTAGCTATTCTAATGTTTTAAGTTAACAAATCAGTTATTTGTAATCATTAACTTAGAAATGTACACTTCAAAATCAAAGTTCAATTTTCAAACACAAGATTCCAAATGTAACTACCTCTGGTAAGTGGTTTGTAAATTGTAGGTAACTGGTAAGCCTTTTAAAATACTGAATTATTCATAATAGTAATACAAAAGACTATAAATGTAAATATATCGTGTTAGTTTTCTGGTTATACAACTTATATATAAAAAAAAAAAAAATAGTAAACAAATCAACATTCAACCGGATCCATAAGCCCTACACGTATACGCTAATAGTAATATTATTACGTGGTCATCTGCTCACTTAGTAGTAACTGCAGCGACGTCTATTATCTTCAGCAAGAAAAATACATATTAAAATTTCAATAAAATTCCATTTTATAAAAACAAATGCGAAACAGCGAATTCTACTTTAGTTGATTTTTGGTTTTCCCTTCTATTACTTAGTTCAACTACGTATTTTTAGTTATATTAAAACGTTACCCCACCTTCTAGCTAAAGCACATTGAATTTTAATACATTTGTATTATGAAACTGACACGAGCTTCTCCATTTGTTTTCCTACTTTTAGTATTACTTTACCCATCATTGATCAAATGTTGTAATTTAAGCTGGTTACATATCTACTCTATCATGTAATCTTTGCTACATATTCACACGTTATACAAAGTATTCGAAACCCCACTGTGTATGTTATTCGTTAATAATAAAAAGATTTTTTTGCAACGAAAGATGAGAAAGAAGTTAAATTTATTTTATGATCCGAGTTGTTTAGATAAAATTTCCTATAACTATAGTGACTTAATGTATGTTACATTATACAAATGTGGCTGTAAGTTTGGGTAGTTAACGGAATGTCCCAGATAAACACATTCTCAGATATTGAGATATTTTGGATTTAAAGCCTAAGAAAGGAAATGTTGTATGGAAAAAATGTTCTAATGTTTAAAATATATGAACAAATTAATAAAGTAAATTTATAATGAATATGGCTACTATATTTTTGTCTTCAAGAATCGTTAATGAAGTATTTTCACAAACATTCTAGCATTTGTTTTTCGAAACTCAACCTTCTGTGTGTCTGCTAGGTGTTTCTAACATAAATGTTCATCTAAAGTTAAATAGTAGCTCTGTAACATAAACAATCGTTTCTCAAAGATAAGTGATTAAAAATAGTAGGTCTTTATCCTCTATTAGAATGGCACATTTGGACATATGTATCTCTAGAGTTGAATGAGTCCTTTCTTTAATTCAACAAATATCACAGCTTTGTTTGATCGTTGCTAAGCACAAAGCTATACAATGGTCTTTCTGTGGTCTGCCCACCGCAAGTATAAAAACCCGATGTTTTAGTTCTCAGACTTATCACTGAATTAGTCAATTAGAAGGATTGGTTATTAATTACAAAAAAGTATAACTATTGTGACAAACTATTCCTAGGTTTGTAATACATTGAATTTTGTGGTATATCATAATTAACTTAGATAAACGTGAATTCATAAAGTGAGATAATGTAACTGTTTTCTGTATATATAACAAGTAGTTTTGAGGGCACTATATCTACTTAACTTTTTGATTGGATGAGATCATGTTTATAGTACATTCATGTAAGAATAGTGATGATTTAGTGCTGTACTTTTATGTATACAAAGCAGAAACAAACAACTGCTTTCCAAACTATAACTATTGTAAAAATCATTAAGGAATATATCAGCTATGATATATTTTTAAAAAATACAAAGACCAAATAAATTAAAGATAATTAAAAACAAAATTATTGTGGAGGATCACCGCTATTTTCATGTTTAAATAATTTGCTCTTTTGCGTTGTTCTTTAATTAGTAGCATAATATGGAGAACGTGAAATCCACAGAGAAACATGTTTTTGAACTCCTTCGCTAAAGTTATATTTTATTTTTTCTTAGATTTCGTCCTTAACGAAATATAAATGCGTCTGTTTGCGATATTATCCAATCAAATGGCTCAGCGGTAAACTCTCGAATTCGGAGCTAGGTCGGCGTGTCGGAAACAGAGCATTTAACCCTAAACAAACAAAACATTTTTTGTGAAATTTAGTGTTTTTGAAAAGCTGTATTAAAATTTTTAGACTGCTAGCTCACGTGATTTTTTGGTCAAAATTGAGCTTTTTTTGTTGAATAACTTTGCACTTGTGGCTTATATGTAGACTAAAGTGTAAAGTTGTTCGAATTATCTTTTTCCCCACATACTTGCTAATTTCAATAATATTTACGTAATAAGTTCAACAATGTTTTGATCAGAATTTTGTCACCATGCGCCACGTAATTAGAACCTTTGAATTATCTTACGTTTTAACGATTATTTCCATTGTAACACAGTACTTACTGCCTGACGAAGGGCGTCTGATCGAAACGTCGCACAAAATTGTTTATTTGTTTGTTTATTTTGAATTTCGCGCAAAGCTACACGAGGGCTATCTGCTCTAGCCGTCCCTAATTTAGCAGTGTAAGACTAGAGGGAAGGCGGCTAGTCATCACCACCCACCGCCAACTTTTGGGCTACTCTTTTACCAACGAATAATGGGATTGACCGTTACATCATAACGCGCTTACGGCTAAAAGGGGCGAGCATGTTTGGTGGGACGGGGATTCGAACCCGCGAGTCGAGCGCCCTAACCACCTGGCCATGCCGGGCCTGTCGCACAAAATAAACTAGAGAAGGTTTTCGTTTAGACGTTTCAGTTTATTCTTTATTATCATTTATTCAAGTTTTACAATATACATCAATTGATTATGATCGAAAAAGAAACTTAAACCGAAAACATTATTCGTGATAAAAAAATATACTGAAAATAATAAATATTTTTTTTTCGAGTAATTTTATAAACACGGATTTTGAAGATATCGGAGGTAAAATCCACTGGCCACAACAGGAGTGTCATTTTCTTCCTCCCATAACTCCAACATTTGCAGTTCAGCTCTATCGAGGTTAGAAGGTTTTTTATGGGTATAGGTAGAAACTTGTGCCTCTTCGTAATCAAGAAGCCCACTCCTCGTTTGAAGTTCTGAGTTTTCGAAATAATCAACATTTTTAGACAACTTTAATGCGTCAGCTAATTTTCTGTCTTTTCCTTCTTCTGTGAATGGAGCAGATGGTGCTAGTGAACCTTTCTTCATATTTCTTACACCCGCGTGGTTCCACGTATTTGATTTTTCATGCATAACTTTCTCAAAGTAAACATCGTCCAGTGAGTCTTGTGAAGTATCCTGCGCTGAATCCGATGATCTACCCGAATTGTTATCAGTGACTATAATTAGAGATTCATCCAAGTCATTAGTGTCCGTGGTTGTCGTGAATGGAACACCAAAATCATGAGATCTACGTGGACCTGTGTTCGATGAAAAACGAGTGGGTTCTTGCTCAATTAACTGCTCGGATGTGATATTTGTGTTATTCTGAACTGTTTGGATGCCAAAAGTGGTTGCATTCTCGTTTATGTCGAGCTTTCTTTCTTTGATCCTGAGAAAATTCAAGCCAGCTTTAAAACTTATAGTACCAACGCCGCTTTTACCACCTTTGGGATACGGTGTTACAAAGATCATTTGGAAAGGAAGTAGTCGAGCTGAAAAAAAAAAAAGATGAAACTGTTAGCAACTCAAGTAGTTAGGAATCGTTGAGATGTAGGTCGTAATAAATACAAAAGAAAGAAATCGACGGTGCTTGATCATTTGTTTAAAAAAACTTAAGCTTTAGTAATCTTATATTGTAACTATGAAAGTAATGATTCTGAATAAACGCTTTAGCGAAATATTATCTTTTTATGATTTTTGATGATAATTAGTTTTATTCCATTATTTATTCGAGAATTAGTTTGTTTGAAGTTATGCACAAAGCTACACAATGGGCTATCTGTGCTCTGTCCACCACGGGTATCGAAACACGGTTTCTAGCGTTGTAAATCCGCAGACATGCCGCTGTGCCACTGGGGGGCGATGAGAATTAGACAAGTGACTGCTAAAAACTTATTATCCCTTGTGCCATTTAAAAATCGCAGTAATAAATTTTATCCTGATTATAACAGGGGCAAGCTTTGTCGTTGTTTTTTTATAAATAACTATTACTAAGCATAAACACACATTATTAAAAGTTGAACTAAAAATGGAGACAAATGTAAAACAATCACATGTTTAAACTGGGCCAAAAATACCTAAGCCTAACCAAGGAAGAATTAAAATATGGTAAGCATTTCACCAAATATAACTAATATTCCTCAATCAATTATCGAACTCGATTGGATGCTAACAGAAAGACAAACATATCATTCCACACTGAGTGTATAACCTACAGATGTCAAGCCACAATGAATTTATAATATCCAATCTTACCAAAAAAAAAAAAGAAAGACATATCTAGAATGAATGTATAACATCTAAAATTGTCAAAATATCATGCCACACTGAATGTATAATATCCATTCTTCCGAAATCCAAATCCAAAATAAATTCATAATATCCACATGCCAAAATGTAAAGACACACTAAATGCATAATCTTCAACCTACTAAAACAGTGGTTCTCCAACCTTCTGCATTCTGAATTTGTTTACAAGCTCGGCGGATCATAATGAGATCTATACACTATGCTTCCCCTTCCTTTATCTAACTGTTCAACCTTTCCATGTACCAACTGAAGAGAACCCATGGACAAGACCATAGATTAAGAACAGTTATACAGGGATGTCAAGTCATTATTAGTATATAATCTAGGGTACGTGAAGATGTAAATTAACTCCCATCAAGTGTATAATCTCCTAACTGCCAGCAGGTCAACCAAAATCCAATACACGTTTCTCTCAGCGATGATATATCCTGATATGGATATTAAATTAAATAACTAACAGTTAATTATGTGTATATATATACAAAAATTATATCTAGTATTATTATGCGTTGAGATATTAACTCAATAAAACTTGATAAAATTATAAACAACGAACAGCACGTGCATTCAAATCATCGTGATGATTACTCTGTTGGTTTTACAGTTGCATGAAATTCGACTTACATGTTACCATTCCATTAGCAAGTCCTTTTCCACAAAAACGGTCCCCGACATTTCCTTTCGTCAACGAGCCTAACGATCCAGTTGGAATGAGGAGATATCCTGCTCTACATTTCGAAGTCCCCACATTTGTGTCCGGGTCTGGTCCAATATCAAACCCGTTATCATCTTCTTCCCTATACTGCCGAATAAAACACTAATGAACAATTTTCTCATAACAATCATTAACAACCCCGAGCACGCCTCTTATTAGTTATGAGTGATTAAATCTATGTCCTAACTTTAATATTTTCCAAATTATAACTTGGGGCCGTTCGTAACTATACGTGTGTAAATACGACTGAAGAACTTTCTGTTAGATGCTTTTGAGTAGGAAAGATACAGTATATGTATATATAGATAGATATATAAATGAAGGACAACCCGAGACAAATCACCACGTATTAAAGTGAATTTGTACAGTTAGTTTTCCTAGTTATAGTAGGCCCGGAATGGCCAGGTGATTAGAGCGCTTGACTCGCGATCTTAGGGTTGCGGGTCCGACTCTCCATCCCACCAAACATTCACGGCCTTTCAGCCGTGAGGGCGTTATTATGTGACGGCCAATCCCACTATTCGTTGGTAAAAGAGTAGTTTGATTCGAAATTCGCGCAAAGTTTTTAAAATATTAACAACCAGTTCTTTTTTTTCCCCATAGATTTGTTTGTTTTGAATTTTGCGCAAAGATATACGAGGGCTATCCGCGCTAGCCGTCTCTAATTTAGTAGTGATAGACTATAGGAAAGGCAGCTAGTCAACACCACCCACCGCCAACTCTTGGGCTACTCTTTTACCAACGAATAGTGGGATTGACCGTTACAGGGCGAGCATATTCAGTGACGGGGATTCGAACCTGCGAACCTCAGATTGCGAATCGAGCGCGTAAACCACCAGGCTTCCTATATATAGTGTTACTATTATCGTTTGTTTGTTTGAAGCTAAGCACAAAGCTACAGAATGGGCTATCTGTGCTCTGCCCACCACGGGTATCGAAACCCGGTTTCTAGCGTTGTAAGTCCGTAGACATACCGCTGTGCCACTGGGGGCTACTATTATCGTCTGAGTCTGTGAAGACTAAGTTAATGTCACATACCTCGTTACAAGAAAAAATACTGGAACTCGCATATCTTTAATAAGTAAAAATAAATCACCTGTTCTTGTTAAATAACAAATTTAGCATATTATGGGAAAAAGACTTTAGATGTATTTTGAAATGGTACTAAGATTTACTTATGAAAAACAATCAGAGGTAGTCTTAAAGTTTACATATATCGTTCTAAAAGTATTTCTTTTATGTATCTTAGTAGTTAAACAATCAAAAATACATACTGAAAGCTAAACGTTCTACACACACACACACACACACACATATATATATATATAAGTAAATAA